TTCAATAGTGATTTTTTTTTTTTAATTTTAAGGTTTTGTTTGTGGCAGTTTTATGGAGAAGGATTCCCGAGACCAGTGACTTGTTAGAAGGGATTCTCTTGCTTGGTCACCTCTGTCACCTGATCTATCTCCATTAGACTTTTTTGTTGTGGGATCATATCAAAACTGTCATGTATGCATCAAAACATCATTCTTTTAACAGTTCAGATAATGTAGATGGAACGGGCAAATTCTTAGAGCACAAAATACCAAAACTGACTCAAAAAGAAATAGAGAATTTGAATGGATCTACAACAAGTAAAGAGATTGAGTCAGTAATCCAAAAACTTTCCATAAAGAAAAGTTCAGTTAAATGTGTATTTCACTTAGGTAGTCTACCAAGCATGTAAAGAAGAATTAACACAGATAAATCACAGATTCTTCCAAAAATAAGAGAGAATATCCCCTTATTTATTCTATGAGATTAGTATTACTCTAATACCAAAACAAAACAAAAATCAGATATCACAAGAAATGAAACTACAGACCAATATCTCTTATAAATACAGATGCAAAAATCTAAAAGAACAAACAAACCATCAACTGAATTCAGCAACATATGAAAGGAGTTATACACTATGACTAGGTGGGACTTATCCCATGATTGCAAGGTTGGTTCAACAAATGAAAATCAATAGACTATATTGATAGAAATAAAGGACAAAGATCACATGATTGCATCAATAGAAAAATAAAAACATTTGACAAAATCCAACACCCTTCATGAAAAAAACAATTAACAAATTAGAAATAGGAGGGAACATCCTATCTGTGATAAAAAGTATCTATGGAAAAAACAGTTAACATCACAGGTCACGGTGAAAGACTGAAACCTTTCTCCCTAAGAGCAGAAAAAAGTCATGGATTTTGCTCTTGCCAGTTTTAGTCAATATTGAATTGGAAGTTATAGCCAGGGTACTTAGGCAAGAAAAAGAGATAAAAGGCATCAAGACTGGAAAAGAAGTAAAACTCTCTTGATCTGCTGATGACATGATATTTTGCAGAGAAAATCCTAAGGAAAAAAGTGGCCACAGTGGTAGCGGTAGAGGCTATGCAGTGACTCAGCAACAAGGACTCACCCTCACCGGGACCGGCCTTGTCAGCCCCACCCCGAGGGCCTCTTAGGTCAGCAACAGAGACCAGCGTTGATCCCCTAATATGGCCCCATTCACTGGGGGAACCAGCCAGTCAGCTGGTGGCAGGCTGATTATAACTGGACCTCTTCCATTTTGGAGGTGGCAGATTTTGTCTTCACTGGAATAGATCCCATTCTGGATATGGGTGCGCCTTCCCTGCCCCGCAATGCTTCTGCCAGTAGCACTCTCTATGAACTCACAGGACACCTTTCCCCCCAGCACGGTACTCCCCATGGCATTGCCTCTGATCAGTGCTCTCCATGCCATTGCTTCTTTTACAGCCAGGGGAATGCAGCAATGGGCTCTTGGCCATAGGCGTGGCTGCTTCACCACACACTGCATCGCCTAGAAGCAACAGGGCACATTTTGAAAGCTTGCTAATGAAATGTAATGGCTTACGGAAGACTCAGTTTTCATGTCATGTGGGAGTCAGCATCCTAAAAGGATGAGGTGCCATCCTAAAGGAGGCGGTATGTGCTTCGAAACAGAACAATATATGGTGCTGTCTCCTACATAGCCTGGTCATAAGGGTCTTGGAATCAAGGCGTGGAAGCAGCTTGTCTTGCTATTAGCCCAAAAATTCACTCATAGAATTCTTGCTTCTTATTCTGGCTACCTTGAGCTCTGCTTGTCTGGTGTTCTCAGTCCCCAGAAAGGAGCTGCTTCCCAGGGGACACACCATGACTCCAGGTAAAGAACCGCAGTCAGTGAGGCCCTCTGCCAGAACGTACAGAGAGAAGAACAGCACGGCCGATGTGTCTGTGAAGAATCCAGGCAGAGGACAGTGTCTCAAAGAGCTTGCTTCTGGGAACTACATTTTGGGTAATTATTGGAAGAATTTTGATTCTAGGTTTATATAAAAAGAGAGAAAACAGGCATGCGTACTGATTTTTATTCATTCACTCATCGAAATGGAAAGGAAAGTTGGTGTTTTAAGGTCTGTAAAAGTGGCCAAATCTTTACCAGGCCTCTGAGGCACTTGGAGATGCAATTAAGAAGAAAAACTGTCTTATTACCTTGTCTGCGTAAGTCATAGCAAGGACTAAAGTAGAGCAGGGCTGCTGCTTAATACAAAATTAATGTTAGTCTTACTGCACACTCATTTAGCCATCACTGGTGATTATGCTAAAGTTATTACTATTCATCTATTCTATTTACTTCTAGATAAGGGGCCAAGTTGTGCCTTCAAAATATTGCCTATTTTGTCCACATTCTAGTGTTGTGGTTAAGCTCAAGGCTCTGGGTCCTGAGGCTGAGGTTTGAATGCTGGCTCAGTCACATTCTAGCTCTGTGATCTCAGTTAAGTCAGCTAACCTCTCTGTGCCTGAATTTCCCTGTCTCTAAAATGAGGATGACAGGGGTATCTACTTTGGAGTGTTGCAGGGAGAATTCATTAACATAACATAGGCAAAGTTCTTACAACAGTTCTTGGCCCAGAGTAAGCCATGAATAATTGTTAGCAATTCTTAATATTATAATTTGGCAACGCTTGTTCTAATTCTCTTTGCCAGAAATATAAACCATTTTCTATCCCTTCTCTCTCTTTCTCAAGCTAAATAACTGCTGTGGACTGAATTGTGTCTCCTCCCCCATCCCCAATTCTTATGTTGAAGCCTTAACACCCAATGAGACTGTATTTGGAGACAGGGCCTTTAGGCAGGTAATTAGCGTTAAATGAGGTCACAAGGGTGGGGTCCTAATTCAACACATTGGTGTATTTAGGCGGAAGAGACACAAGAAATCTCTCTTTACACAGAAGAAAGGTCTTGTGAGGCCAGAGAGGGAAGGTGACCATCTAAAAGTCTGGGAGAGCGACCACACCAGAACACCTGATAGCACTTTGATCTTGGACTTCTAGCCTCCAGAACTGTGAGAAAAATAATGTCCACTGTTTAGACCTTGAGTCTGTGATATTTTGTTATGGCGCCCTGGCAAACTAGGACATTGACATTGAAATCTCTGAATTCACCTATTTAATGAGAGACAAATGAGTGGTGCTAACAGTGTCTGATTCATTCCTGAACACCTTTACCCACTGTATTGAAGTCTGGTATTGAAGGGGGGGAGGAGCTGTGTCACCCAGGGAGTCAGATGCCGCCAGGACTTCTGTCCACTTGATTCCCTCTAGTGATCCTTTTTTCAACAAGATTTACTGAGGCCCTAGACTGACTCATAGATGTGCAGGAATTAGTTAGTGCTTGTGAAGAGCTCTCACTCTTCTTTCTTTCTTCTTTTAGGCTCAACCTAGAGGATTTTGTAAGAATATTAATTGGGTCAATAGAGTCACCAGATTCTAGACTAATGCGACCGTTACGTCAGCTGTGGCCTCCCGTTCCTTCACGAGCTGGGCAGTGCTGGTTGGAGTCCTGATCATTCCACTTCATGGGACGCCTAGGGCCCTTCCCTGGAAGTCCTCTGAGTCCCCTTTTCATGTCCTCTTCCTTCCGAGTCCCTGTCTCGATGGGTTTGATTGTACCCTTGAGCTGCCTTTCAAAAACTTAGGTCACAGCAAGCATGCATACATCTAGTCATCTTCACTGAAGGCTGAGTGATCTCAGGAAGGCAATTGGGGAGTCACCGGAGGTAAGGACCAGATTGGAATCTTCTCTCCCACTTCTGTGGCCTCTTTTCTGTTCATTTTTTCTTCCAGAAATTCCCAAGAAGTCTTTTCTCTTCGGTGCACAGAAGAATACAACTGGGTTACAAGGCTCAACCTTGCTGAAACCCTAGTTCATAAGATCCTTAAGGAACAAAGAATCTTCCATTTTAAGGCCATTTTGCTGATACATTTATTATAAATAAATATTATATAATATGCATGACATATGTACAAGGACATATTATATATGCATAGTATATGTATGACATAAATATTATAAATAGATTTCTAAATACCAAGCACCTCGTTTTTCTTTTTTTTACTACATTCGGAACGATTAAGGCAATTTAGAGATAAAAGGAACTGCTGAGTTCAGAGATAATGATAGAACTGTCAGTCTGGGTAGCCTCAAATTCACTCATTGGCTTGTGAAAAGCTGTTTGGAATTGACCGCAGAATTTATTTCTCAGGTGTAGGGTGTTTAGAATCTAGAACTAAGAATTCTGTAAATCATGTACCTTTAGAAAAATCAGGGCAAAATGGCTTTTCCAATCTTTTATTAAAGCTTTTCTAAGATGGTGATTAAATAATAAGGGGGGAGGGAGCGAGGGGAAGAGAGAGGAGGGGAGAGAGAGCAAGCGAGAGAGATATCCAAAAGGTTTGTTAGCTCGTACTGACTTTCCTAGCTAACCTCTGTGAATGTAAAGTTAGATTTGATTTCTATGTATTTTGCCTGTAAACGAACTATGCACGAAATGTAAAAATGCGCGCTGAGTAATCATGCCAATGAGCAGCAATTACTTTAAGGATGCAACGCGTTTGAAACACGCTTTACTCCTGAAAGGCTCTGCCCCAGCGCCTCGGTGGCGAGTAGGAAGAGGGCTGCGCGGCCGCTCTCAGCAGTGACCTTCTCGGAGCGCTCCGCACGCCCTAAATACCGCTCCCGGCCCGGGGCAGCAGCCCCCGCGGCTCCTCAGCGTCCCGCGAGTCCCTGGCCTCCGTCCCACTCCTCACCGGCCGCCTCCCCGCCCTCTCCCGCCGCCGCCCACGCCCCCGTCGCGGGGGCAGGGCAGGAGGAGGTGGTCGGCCCGCCCCACGACCCTATTAAAGCGTCCCGAGCGAGGGCCGGGCATGGTGAGCCCGGCGGCGAGGAAAGTGGCGTGCCGAGCTCCCGGAGCGACGCGCAGGTTCCAGCGCTCAGGACAGCCCTTCTCGGGCCTGGGCGGGCGCTCCGAGCTCCCCCACGCCCCCTGCGCCCCTCGGCCGCGCTCCCCTTCTCCGCCCTGCGGGCCCCGGGAGGCCGGGCCATGCGCCCAGGCTAGTGCGCCCGGGGCGCAGCGCCGACCGGGGCTGCCCCGCTGCCCGCTCCCGCCGCCGGCATGCTGCGCCCGCTGCTGTTGGCGGCGCTCTGCCTAGCCGTCCGCCTCGGACCCAGCCGCAGCTGCCAGCTGCCGTCTGAGTGGAGACCCCTGAGCGAGGGTTGTCGCGCCGAGCTGGCCGAGATCATCGTGTACGCCAAGGTGCTGGCCCTGCACCAGGAGGTGCACGGCCTCTACAACTACCTGCCCTGGCAATATGAGGCTGGCGAGGCAGGGCTCTTTTACTCCGCCGAGATCGAAATGCTGTGCGACCAGGCGTGGGGCAGCATGCTCGAGGTCCCCGCCGGCTCCAGGCTCAACCTTACCGGCCTGGGCTACTTCTCGTGTCACTCCCACACCGTGGTCCAGGACTACTCCTATTTCTTCTTCCTCAGGTGAGCTCGGCGCGCCCACACTGCCATCTCTGCCTTTCTGCATGACCTCTCACAGGATCCTATTCGTGCCATACGAGGATATGCCTTGGGGGCCTCCTCTTACTCTTTAACCTACCTCTCTACAAAGATCCCAGGTATCTCTGGCCCAGGGGGGTTAAACAACAGGAATGATTTCTGGGCTTCATGAAAAGAAGAGTGTTTCAGGAAACTGCTCAAGGTGGTTTCCAACACTCCATTGAAATCAACTTTTTTTTTTTTTTTTTAAACTGGATTCACTGGGAGTAGCTTGGGCTGGTGAGAAAGAAAAAGAAAAACATTTGAAGTCAGATTGTTGGAATTCTGGTTCTGCTTCTCCTGATTTTGTGCAAGTTACTGACCTAAAAACAAAACAAAACAAAAACCTCATATCCTCACCTTAGTAAAGTGACAAGCAAGGTTCATTGAGACTAGAGCGTAGTAACTCATGCAAACACCTGGTGCAGGTCGAATGCAGGAATAGTCTCACTCTCTTCTCCCCACCTGCTTGAATGCCTGAATGTGAATGGTGTGGAATGCAGCCCAGCTGTCCTTTTGTTTCACTCATATGCGTTGATATCAGTCTCATATCAGCTGCCAACAGACCTCAATGCCAAGCTGTTCAAAATAGCCAAGGTTTAGGGGGGTGGGCTTCTGGAGGTAAGACCCTGAGTCACAGTGCTTTGAAGAGGAGAGAGGTGAATCAAGCAGGAGATTCTCTCTGATTGGAGACTCCCGGAATCTTCTGACATGACAGGAAGGTGGCCTGTGGTCAAGATGGAATGCACGTGCCTGAGAATTCAGTCAGTAGTTCCCCTCAGGTCTGAAACAGAGAGCAGCAGGTGAAACCCTAAACCCTAAATGCATTGGTTGTTTCCAGCTGAAGTAGGATAGTGATACAGAGCAACTGAGGGAAACATCAAAATGGAATCTAACGTCTATGTCCAGATAGTGAATTAACCAAAGTTGTGATTGGTACTGGTTCCAGTCTGCCCAGTGTGTGAAGTAGCAATAAGGATATTTGAATGAGTGGACTTTGAGCTCTTGTGATCTCACATGTCTCGGAGAAGGAAACCGGTAAGTTCCGCAGAGGGCCTCCGTAAGCCCATGGCAACACATGTTTTCCATACTGAAGCCAGCATATCTAAGTTTAGAATACATGGGGCATGCTTCGTGTTGGCTTGAGTGGTTCAGCTAGGTTCAGTTGAATTTTTTTTTCATTCCTGGGGAAGTATAGTTTCTAAATAAGGTCAGCGGGGACTGAGACACTACCTTTGTTATACAGAGAGGCTTAACTAAGATTTTTCATGTTTTTATTTAGGAAAAACACCAAGAACACAACTATAAAACTATAACTATACAACAATGAAATTTCATTTTCCAAAGCAAAAAGAGCTGCCGTACTTGAGTGGACATTGTTTCCCCTCACCCCCAACTTTACAATGAAATACAGTTTTGTCCACTGACGCTGTGGTGGTCAGCCAACTCTTTCATCTTTTGCTCTGACATATTTACAAAGAGGACAGAAATACAGTCAGACGATAGTCTGATAGCTTTCCATTTCACAGGGCTGTGCTGTTCTGAAGTGTATTAAGAGCTGCATACAAATCATTCCTCCTCTGTTATTTGGGAACCCACTGAGACAGATTCTGGTCAGTGTCACGGGGGAGAGTGGCAGTGGAGGCCCTCTGGTGAAGTGAAGTGTAACTTCTGTCTCTCCTGTTCCTTTTTATGATGTTATCTCTCCCGCAGGCTATTTACACTAGGCTCTATAAAAATGGTAACTAACATTGACGCTGCCCTCACTTCATGCCAAGTACTTTATTTACTCACATTTTCTAATGCAATCCTTATACTGCCTCCAAGAAGTAGGTGCAATGATCATCCTGTTTTTATGGATTGGAATACTAAAGCTCAGAATTTTAAAAATTTGTTTCATATCAGACAGAAGATAAGTAATAACGGTAGGATTTGAACCCGGGTTATTTCAACTGGCCTTCCTTGCACCAGGAAACAAGGAATGCCCTCTATGAGAAGGGAGGCCTCTTGGGAGATATACAAATAGACAAACATACAGGCAAGCACGCACTTTCTCCCCTGCTTCACCCAAAGTCATCTTTTTGAAAACTTTAAGAATAGATCATGTATTCGAGGCAGAGAAATAATTAGAAACAGTAACGCCTCTGATGAGAGCCATGTGAGACGTTGTTGTGTAATTGGCAAGACTGCCTCAGCCTTCTCTGACTCTTGATTAAAGCTGGTACACACTATAGGTGTTCAGTCTACATCTGCTTTTTTTTTTTTTTTCTCTCTCTTTTCCACTAGGATGGATGACAATTATAACCTCTTGCCTCATGGAGTCAATTTCCAAGATGCCATCTTTCCAGACACTCAAGAGAACAGAAGGATGTTTTCCAGCCTTTTCCAGTTTTCGAACTGTTCGCAAGGGCAGCAACTGGCCACTTTTTCCAGCGACTGGGAGATCCAAGAAGATAATAGGGTAAGACTTGGCTGTACCCTGTGCAGCGGCAACATGATAGAATAGCCACATCTTGTATGAGTTCTTTTTTTTTTTTTAAGTTTTATTTATTTATCTTTAAAGAGAGGGGAAGGGAGGGAGAAAGAGAGGGAGAGAGAAACATTAATGCAAGAGAGAAACATCAATCAGTTGCCTCTCATATGTGCCCTGACCAGGGACTGAACCCGCAACCCCGCATGTGCCTTGACTGGGAATGAAACCAGTGACCTTTTGCTTTGTGGGATGACACCCAACCAACTGAGCCACGTTGGTCAGGACTTGTATTAGTTTTGCGACCAAAGGAGTCAAGAATACTCTTCAAAAGCCCAGACCAAAGAGTATTATCCTCCCTTCTCTCTCCCTGCCAGCAGTTAGAAAACACTGCTCATGAACTTCAGATTCCTGAGGCTTTACCATTTGGCCTGGGGTTCCTCACAAAGTGAGGGAACAAGATGGGAAGAAAGTTGGCCCACTGTATCTCAGTTTCTTCTGTAAAATGGAGTCAATGATACCATCTAGATCATAGGGCTGATGCCATGTGATTTCACTGTGAAATGTGTAAATATGTAAAGCCCTTAGCATAGTGCTCGACAGAGTCAGCACTCATCACCCATGAGACATTGTGACTGTCGGCATCATCATTGTTGCTGCGGTGTTGTTACTGATAGTACAGGACTCTTAAGAAATTGTCTAAGAGGAAAGAAAATGTCCTTAAGGGAATAAAATGAAAGAATGATCGTAACTAACACTTCTATCATTTTTATCTATAGTTGTTCAGACATAGGGGTACAGGGTGGCCAAGGTGGCTGTAGTATATAAGGGTCAGGCGATTTGGGGGATGCAAAGATAAAAAGGGAAAGTCCAAGGGTTGTTACTTTCCCAAAGCAGCGGCCACAGTGGCCGTGGGATGACTGTGGAACCAGCCCAGTCCCCTGTCCGGGACTTTTTAAGGCAATGTGACAGGCTGCTGGGAAGAGTCCTGCTTGGGGATGTGCGGATCCCAAGGAACAAGCACTGTTTTGTGGGTTAATGAACCACTGCACATAGTCAGGGCCTTCCGTCCTTCCACCCTTACGTGACAGGTTTGGACGAAGTGCTTTTCTCTTGGCCAGCGGGTTGGCCTAGGGCAGCAACATGATAGAATAGCCACATCTTGGATGAGATCTTTTTTTTTTTTTTTTTTTTTTAAGTTTTACTTATCTTTAGAGGGAAGGGAAGAGAGGGAGAGAGAAGAGAGAAGGAATTAGAAGTTAGATCCTCCAAATTCCATACCTTCTGCCCAGGGCTCCCTGGCACCTGGAGGCCTTCTTCGTGCTCCTGCACAGAAACCGTTAGCATGATCGGCGGGTACATCCAACTAAGGAACACTGTTTATTTTTACATCCTGGACATTATGAAGAGGTTCCTCCCTTAGACCTACTTTATTAACAGCTGTCTAGAATCCTCTTACCCCCCTCCCCGGTGTGTCAGAATTTTCTGAACACTTGTCCTGTGTTTTGCTCCCAACATGGTCCCAGGCACCCGTTTCTTACCTCCATCTATACCAGCCCCGCTCCATTTTGACCTGGACCCGCCAGGTGTCAGCCGGAGTACCCCGAGCCTGAGTCTTGTCCCAGCGCATTCCAGTGAAATCCTTGTAGGCACAGCCATTTGGTTCTCCATTCTGTAGGAGTTTTGCTTATCCTGCTAGATCCTTGAAGACAGCCCATTTATATCAAGAGATCAGATAATATTCCAAAAATATTTTAGTAGTTTAGCCCCAAACTTTTCGGTTACATAACTTATTAGTCCTATGGTCACATAATGAAACTATTAACATTTCCTGGAATTAGATTTTCCATCATTTGAAAAAACAGAACAATAGGAACAGGGGAGAATTGTTTCAATGTGCAGGCAGCCCTATTTCTGGTGGTCAGATGTTGATCTTGGGGGAGAAGTCCTTTTCGTTTTCCCTCTAAACACCCTGGCCACTTAGATAGCAAAGGGAGGGTGTGCTACCTGACTCTGAGGAAGAGTCAGAGGCTTTGGGGGAGGAAAATAATTGTGCCTGGTTGCTGAGCTCCTGTGTAGCTGAATTTAGAAGTTAGATCTGATGTACCTTGTACTTTTTACACCTTTGGAACCCCTTTGAAAGGTAGCATAAATTAGCTAGCTAGTTTAGAATTTAATTTCCTTTTTTGTCAATATTAGGATTTACATTTTATGATAATCCTTGAGCAATTTTTATGTGCTCTGAAGGGATTAAAGTAGCTGTGAATTGATGATCTCAGAGTAGGGTGAAGAATTACTGACAATTACTTGTTCCTTTCTTCAAAAAAAGATGTTAAACATTTTCTGCCTTTTCTGTGCGAAGGTGAGCATCACATTGTCTTTCCTGTTCAGGGTGACTATCTCATGTTCTGTCAGAAGGAGTCTATATTTTTTCTAAGGGGGTCCTCAGTCTAGGGAGGGGTCAGAAGAGCTGTTCAGGTCACATTTTTATTCCAGTAGGAGTAGGTCTGAGGATACTTTTGAAAATCAGAACCCATGAATTTTTCACATATTCTGAGCCCATTCTAAATGGCCCTGGACATTGCACGTTACACGCCTTTATTTTACGTTACAAGCTGTATCTTGGATCACAAGATCGGTGGGGCTTTCTTCTGCTCGAGCTGTTGCCTCGGCTTCCAGTCAGCCCGGGCAGTGGCTGAGGCTGTGGTCGTGACAGCTTTCAGTCTCTTCGCTGATAGTTCTCACTTCCTCTGTGTGGGAGGATCAGCGGATCTGGGACTCTGGAGTCAATGCAAAGGTTAAGAAATGGAAGGGGAGGAAAGTCGCACCTAGGGAAACGTTTGTGGTGTACACCCAAGGCCTTGTTCACCTCAGTCCCCAGCCACACAGTCCTCCTCCTCTCTAGTTCCATCTTCAGCCGTCCCACTCATGCCTCGGCAAGCAGAAACACAATCTTTCCAAAGTCGCCAGGGAGTCAGCAGCATTGCTGAGTGTTCAGTGCTGTTCTGGTTTAGTGTCATGGTGTTAATGGGGCCTTGGGGGTGTCTTTGGCAAGTTGGAGCATCCAGCAGACTTGCTGGCAGGATTCTCTCCACACCAGCCAAGGACATTTTTCTTTCTTCTTTATCCTGCTGGGTGAGTATAACTGTCAAAACAGAAGTTGGATATTTTCCTTTCTCTGCAAGTACTGTCCCCTAGGACCAAGACCCAGACTGACCCGTACTTGTATGGGTCTGTCACAGAATGTCATGGGATTGAAATAAAGTTTGTGAAAGGCCTCTGCCATCTCTTTTCGGGGTTGGGAAGGATGGGGGAATTACTCTCCAAGCTGCATTAGAAAGTATTTATACGTAATCTGAAGATCTAGATTGGCTCCGCCATTTCCAGAGGAATGACCTTGGGAAGGGCCTTTCATTTCTCCTGACGTCAGTTTCCTCATCTATAAAATGGGGCTGCAATATATTGGGCTGGCCAAGAAGTCTGTTATGTTTTTTCTGTGTGATGGCTCTAGTAGTGCTTAGTTGTCTTTAACTTCATTTGAAATAATTTGTTAGATTGTATTGTGATGGCTGTCTTATCAGCATGCATTTAAAAAAGTGTGTATTTAAAAAAAACTCATGAAAATGGGTAAATTTTTGTGCAGCCATTATCAGTATTGAAGATGGAGGAAGATATGCACCATTTTCAGCATATTATGCTTTATTATTTCAAGAAAGGTAAAAACAGAACTGAAATGCAAAAACACCACCACCACCACCACCAACAAAAAACAAACCCAATTAGTATAGTCTATAGAGAAGATTCTGTGACTGATCGAATGTGTCAGAAGTGGTTTATGACTTTTCTTGGTACTATTGACATTTTGGCCAAATAATTCTTTGCTGTGGGGCTGTCTTACGCACGGGAAGATGTTGAGCAGCACCCTGGCCTCTACCCACTCGAAGCCAATTGCGGGAGACAGCCGACATACTCAATATCCAAATCAATAAACTTGTTGGTGAAAATGAAAAATGTGTCTTTTATTTTATGGGAGATATGTAACAGACTTTTGGCCAATCCAATATAAACTCTTTAAGGTTGTTGTAACGACCTAACTAGAGCATTTTTGAAAGTATTTATACTTTATAAACCGTAAAGGGTGATGTAAGAGTTTATTACTGTAAATTGATCATTTTAAAGTATAACTTTAAAAATGACAGTTTTAAAATTTAAAAAGCTTCCTGCTACTTCCCAGGGGAGTGGTGGAGTGGTGGCAGCGTGGGGACAGGGCAGTGTGTCAGACAGAGGCAGATGGCAGGCAGGTCACCACGTGGGCCTTCATTCATTCAACAGAATTTATTGGATTCCATGCCGGGGGCGCTTAGAAACTCATCTGCTGAATTAGAAGCACAGACGCACATGGGTTCCCAAATCTAGAAGTATAAATGGGAGTTAGGAGAGCTTCTCTCGTACTTCTGACACCCGTCTACCCAGTTCTCACCCACCCTCCAGACAAGCGACTGCTGTTATTAGTTTCTAATGAACATTCAATGAGTGTTTTCATCCAACAAATAATGCCAACATGTATTGTTCGCCATCTTTGACACAAGTGGCAGCGCACTGTGCGTACTTTGATTTACCTTGCTTTATTCATAAGGATATCTTGATCTTTCCATATCAATTCTTTAAAGCAACATACAAAGTTGCTTTAAATAGCTGCATAGTGTTCTATCATGTAGATATGTCACAGTATTTAATCAAGTTCCCTCTTGACAGGGAGTTAGGTTGTTTCCAATACATTCCTATTACAAAGAGCGTGGGCTTATACAATATTATACATGTGTCATTTTGTGGGATTGTTGAGTTCAGTCTTTAGCAAGCACTTAGTGAGTGCAGCTACTCACTCAGTAAGGCAGCTACTGTGATAGTTAAATGTTGAGCAAAATACAAACTCCTTACCTATAAGGCTCTTGTCCTAATGTTGGTGGTTGACACAATCAAAAGATCACATT